CTGAAACCATATGATAATTGTCTTTCTCTGATTGACTCATTTCACTTAGCAGAATACCCTACAGTTTCATCCTGGTCATGTAAATGGTAAGTATTCACCCTTTCTGATGGCTGAGTAGTAGTCCATTGTATCTATGAACCACATCTTCTTTATCCATTCATCTGTTGAAGGGCATCTTGGCTCCTTCCACAGTTTGGCTATTGTGAATGTTGCTGCTATGAACATTGGCGTGCATGTGCCCCTTCTTTTCATTACATCTATATCTTTGGGGCAAATTCCCAGTAGTACAATTTCTGGGTAATAGAGTAGCTCTATTTTCAAATTTTTGAGGAACCTCTATACTGTTTTTCAGAGTGGCTGAACCAGCTTGCATTCCCACCAACAGTGTAAGAGGGTTCCCCTTTCTCCAATCCTTGCCAATATTTGTTGCTCCCTGTCTTATTAATTTTAGCTATTTTAACTGGTGTAAGGTATTTCATTGTGGTTTTGATTTGTATTTTGGTGATGCCAAGTGATAAGGAGCATTTTTCAAAGTCTCTGTTGGCCATTTGTATGTCTTCTTTGGGGAAGTGTCTGTTCATGTCTTCTGCCAATTTCTTGACTGGATTATTTGTTTTTTTGGGTGTTGATCTATAAAGACCTTGGATACCAGACCTTTATCTGTTATGTCATTTGTGAAAGTCTTCTTGCATTCTGTAGGTTGCCGTTTAGTCTTGTTGAGTTTCCTTTGCCTTGCAGAAGATTTTATCTTGATGAAATTACAAGAGTTCATTTTTTATTTTGTTACCCTTGCCTTTAGAGATGTGTCTAGCAAGAAGGTGCTGTGGCCGAGGTCAAAGGAATTGCTACCCGTGTTCTCCTGTAGGATTTTGATAGATTCCTGTCTCATGTTTAAGTCTTTCATCCATTTTCAGTTTATCTTTGTGTATGGTGTAGGAGAATAGTCCAGTTTCATTCTTCTGCATGTGTCTCTACAGTTTTCCCAACACCATTTATTAAAAGCACTGTCCTTTTTCCATTGGATATTCTTTCCTGCTTTGTAAAAGGTTAGTTGACCATAAAGTTAAGGGTCCATTTCTTGCTTCCACTGGTCATGTGCCTGCTTTTGTGCCCATACCATGCTGTTTGGTGACCACGGCTTTGTAATACAGTTTGAAGTCAGGCATTGTGATGCCCTTCCTTGCTTTGGTTTTCTTTTTCAACATACCCATGATGATTCGGGGTCTTTTGAGATTCTGTACAAATTTTGGGATTGTTTGTTCCAGCTATTTGAAAAATGACAATGGTATTTTAATAGGGATGATATTGAAATTGTAGATTGCTCTGGGCAGCATAGACATTTTAACATTATTCTTCCAATCCATGAGCATGGAATGTTTTCCCATCTCTTTGTGTCCTTCTCCATTTCTTTCATAAGTGCTCTATAGTTTCTAGAATATAGATCCTTTACCTTTTTGGTTAGGTTTATTATGAGGTATCTTATGGTTTTTGATGTCCTTGTAAAGGGAATCAATTCCTTAATTTCTCTTTCTACTGTTACATTGTTAGTGTATAGAAATGCAACTGATTTCTGTGCATTGATTTTGTATCCTGCCACATTGCTGAATTGCGGCATGAGTTCTGGTAATTTTGGGGTGGAGTCTTTTGGGTTTTCTACATAAAGTCATGACATCTGCAAAGAGTGAGAGTTTTACTTCTTTGCCAATTTGAAAGTCTTTTATTTCTTTTTGTTGTCTGATTGCTGAGGCTAGGACTTCTAGTACTATTTTGAACAAAAGAGATAAGAGTGAGATTCTCCTTTCATGTTCCTGATCTTAAGGGAAAAGCTCTTGGCTTTTCCCAAATTGAGACTGATATTTGCTGTGGGCTTTTCATAGATGGCTTTTTATGATATTGAGGTATGTTTCCTATATCCCTACACTCTGCAGAGTTTTAATCAGGAAATGATGCTGTATTTTGTCAAATGCTTTTTCTGCATCTATTGAGAGGATCATATGGTTCTTTTCCTTTCCTTTATTAATGTGATTTATCATTTTGGTTTATATGTGAATGTTGAACCACTCTTGCATCCTAGGAATAAATCCCACCTGGTTGTGATGAATAATCCTTTTAATGTACTGTTGAATCCTATTGGCTAGGATCTTTGGCATCCATGTTCATCAGGGATATTGGTCTGTAATTCTCCTTTTTGAAGTGGTCTTTTGTCTGGTTTTAGGATTAGGGTAATGCAGGCCTCATAAAATGAGTTTGGAAGTTTTCCTTCTGTTTCTATTTTTTGAAACAGCTTCGGTAGAATAGTTATTTCTTCTTTAAATGTTTGGTAGAATTCCCGTGGGAAGCCATCTGGCCCTGGACTCTTGTTTTTTTTTTTTTTTAATTTTTTTTTAATTTTTTTTATTTTTTGTTTTTCTGGGGAGGGGGAGTTTTTTATTACTGATTCTATTTCATTTCCGGTTATTGGTCTATTCAGATTGTCTATTTTTTCCTCTTTCAGTCTTGGTAGTTTATAAGTTTTCAGGAAGGCATCCATTTCTTCCAGATTGCTTAATTTGTTGGCATGTAGTTGCTGATAAGAATTTCTTTTTTTTTAATATTTTATTTATTTATTTGACAGAGAGATATCACAAGTAGGCAGAGAGGCAGGTGGGGGATGGGGGAAAGCAGTCCCAGGACCCCGAGACCATGACCTGAGCCGAAGGCAGAGGCTTAACCCACTGAGCCACCCAGGCGCCCCAGTTGCTTGTAATAATTTCTAATAATTGTTTCTATTTCCTTGGTGTTAGCCATGATCTCTTCTTTTTCTCTTATGATTTTATTTATTTGGGTCCTTTCCCTTTTCTTTTGGGTAAGTCTGACCAGAGGTTTATCAATCTTATTAATTCTTTTAAAGAACCAGCTTCTAGTTTCATTGATCTGTTCTACTATTTTTCTGGTTTCTGTTTTCCTGATCTCTGCTCTAATCTTTATTATTTCTTTTCTTTTGCATGATTTAGGTCTTATTTGCTGTTTTTTCTCCAGCTCCTTTGGGTGTAAGGTTACCTTGTGCATTTGGGCTTTTTCTACTTTTCTGAAAAATGCTTGGATGGCTATGTATTTCTCCCTTTAAGACCAACTTTGCAGTATCTCATAGGTTTTGGACTGATGTGTTTTCATTCTCATTAGTTTCCATGAATTGTTTAAGCTTTAATTTCCTGGTCGACCCATTCATTCTTTAGCAAGATGCTCTTTAACTTCCAAGTGTTTGAATTCTTTCCAATTTTTTTTCTTGTGATTGAGTTCCAGTTTCAAAGCATTGTGGCCTGATAATATGCTGGGAATAATCTCAGTCTTTTGGTATCAGTTGAGACGTGATTTGTGACTCAGTATGTGGTCTCTTCTGGGGAAAGTTCCATGTGCACTTGAGAAGAATAAGTATTCTGTTGTTTTAGGGTAGAATGTTCTGTATATATCTATGAAGTCCATCTGATCCAATATATCATTCAGAGCTCTTGCTTCTTTGTTCATCTTCTGCTTAGATGATCTTTCCATTGCTATGAGTGGAGTGTTCAGGTCTCCTATTCATATGTTATTCATGTATTATTCCTACTATGACTCTATTACATACACTATTCATTTATTATTATCAACATGGATTCTTTATTTTGGTTAATAATTGGTTTATTTGTTGGAGACATAGATATTTACAATTGTTAAATTTTCTTGTTGGATAGGCCTGTTAAGTATGATATCGTGCCCCTCTACATCTCTTACTACAGTTTTTGGTTTTAAATCTAATTTGTCTGATATAAGAATTGCTACCCCAGCTTTCTTTTGAGGTACATTGGCATGGTAAATTGTTCTCCATCCAGTTACTTTCAATCTAGAGGTGTCTTTAGGTTCAAAATGAGTCTGTGTAGATAGCATATGGATGGTTCCTGTCTTTTTTTCCAGTCTGATACCGTGAGCCATTTCATGGGAGCATTTAGGCCATTCACATTGAGAGTAACTATTGAAAGATAATTAATTTAGTGCCATAATGTTGCCTGTAAAGTCCCTGCTTCTCTAGATTGTCTCTCTATATTTTTGGTCTATATTACTCTTGGGGTCTTTTTTTCTTTTACAGAATCCCCCTTAGTATTTTTTGCTGGGCTGGCTTGGTCATCACATATTCTTTCAGTTTCTGCTGGTCCTGGAAGCTCTTTATCTCTCCATCCTTTCAGAATGACAGGATGGATAAAGTATTCTTGGCTTATGTTCTTCTCATTTAGTACACTGAATATCTCCTGCCAGCTCTTTCTGGCTTGCCAGGTCTCTGTGGACAGGTCTGATGTTATTCTCATGTTCCTCCCTCCATACATAAGAAATCTCTTCCCTGTAGATGCTCTCAGGATAGCTTCCTTGGCTCTAAGATTTACAAGTTTCACTATTATATGCTAGGGTGTTGGTCTATTTTTATTGATTTTGGGAGAGATCCTCTCTGTCTCTTGGACATGAAAACTTTGTTTCCCTCTCCAGATTAGGGATATTCTCAGCTATTATTTAATCAAATATACCTTTTGGCCCTCTTTCTCTCCACCCCATCGTGTACCTCAGTAATTCTGACATTGGTTCATTTCATGGCATCATTAATTGCTCGACACCTTTCTTCATGGGCTATTTGTGTCTTTCTCTCTTTTCTTCAGCTTCCTTCCTTCCCATCAGCCTGTCCTCTAGATCACTTATTTTCTCTTCTGCCTCATTTCCCTTAGCTGTTTGAGCATCCAATTTAGACTGTATCTCCTTCATAGTGTTTTTAAGTTCGGCCTGATACGATCTCATTTCTGTCCTTAGAGATTTTGTATTGTCATTTATGCTTTTGTCAAGCCTAGTTGTTAACTTTATAATTGCTATCCTGAATTCATCTCTGACATCTTACTTATATCCATATCGATTAGCTCTGTGGTAGAGAGCATTGCCTCTGGTTTTTTCTTTTGTTGTGAATTTCTCCTTCTAGTCACTTTTCCCTGAGAAGGATGGGTAAGCCAATGAGCAGAGTCTAAAATATCAACAGCCAAACAAAATACACCCCAGAAAAAACCAAAGTGGTTGGAAACCACCACAGAAAAGCAAGCAAAACCATAATGAAATAAAACAACAAAAAAGGGGATGGGGAAGAGAGACTATAATATCATAGGGTGCAGGGTGATCCACTTGTTCCTTTATTGAATTTTGGTCTCTCCATTAGAAGACACTACGTCCCAAAATGGCAAAGAAAGGAAAACTTTTATATATATAAAAGTTTATATATATATATATATATAACATATATATGATAGAGGACTAAATATATTGAATAAAAGGACTAAAATGAAGCATATATCTATAAAATGTAGATGTAAAAAATAAAAGTTAAAAAGCAACTTAAAAACATAAGTTGGTAAGATAAGAATCTAGTTGAAATGGGGAAAAGGTAAAAAAAAAAAAGAAATGGGACATTTTAGATTAAAAGATAAATGAGTCTTGAGAAAACACTTGTAGCTCAAGATACTATTTTCCCCTGGTGCTAGAGTTTTACAGTCTTGTGGAATCCATAAAGTTGTATTGTACAAGTGCTTCTAGTCTGTCCCTGGGGGAAGGGCCCTGCTATGCTTCCTCTCAGATGTCCTTGACTCATGGATTTGCCCCACCCCTTGTCAGGAGTCTGGGCTCAGTGTACGCTTATTGTCTGTCTGGTTTTTGTTCCCTAGAGGTTTTCTGCACCTCTTCAGAGGATCCGAGCAAAAATGGTCAAGCGCAGATCTCTGGCCCAGAGCTGAGAGATCGTTGACCCTCCCTCTTCAATAAACCCTTTAGGACAGACATTTTTCACTTTTGTGTGTGCTAAACTCTGCAGACTCTTGCCATGTGCATCACTGCAGTCCTCCTGGGGGGAAATCCCAGGGACCTGTAAGCACCCCTGCCCTTTGTGTCCTTGGGACTGCCAGCAGTTGCAGGCTTGTGCAGACAGGCACCTGCTCCACTCCTCCTGGGTCATGGCTGGGTGCCACCCTACTGTCCTTTCCAGGACCACCACCACCCTGAGCGCTATTGCCTGGTCATGGCCACAACTGTTTTGCCTCTCCCACAGGATGGTAAATGGCCCACACATTCCAGTCCTTTTCAGAATGCTCTGACAAAGAGTGGTCACCCAACAACCCAAACTACGAATCCCTCCTGGGCTCACTGATCATAACCAGTTTCCTGGCTCCACTGCTTGGGCACTCTACCAATTCAGGCATCCCTGTTCATCCCGTGTCTTCTGGGATCCTGAGACCACAGCTACCCATCTAGAATTCTGCCCTTTTCATCCTCTGAGCCCCTTTCAGAAAGGGATTCCTCTCATTTGAGCAGATTTCAGAGGATTCCAATTTTGTGCTCTGGTGTTTTATCACTTTTCAGTAGCCAGCATATGGAGGATCCCTTCCCCCCTCCATTTTTCTTCCCATATGTCCCCACAGATTCACTACTCCACACCTCCTACCTTGCAAGAAGCAGTTGCTTTTCTACTTGTAGAGTTCCAGCTATATTTTCTTACCTCTCAGGCTGAATTCCTGGGTGTTCAGAATGGTTTGATAGTTATCCAGCTAAATTCAAGTGACCAGATTAAATGAGGTCCCCTACTCTTCTGCCATCTTGCCTCTTTCTTCTGAGTACCTTTTCTTGTACCTGTTTATTTCTATGTCTGCTTTGGAAGAATGTTTATTTCTGTTATTTTCCCCTTTTAAAATTGTGTTGTTATTTTGTTGTTGAGTTTCATGAGTTTTTTATATTTAGATATTAATCAGATATGAAGTATGGAAACACTTTTACCCATTCTGTAGACTGCCTTTTCATTTTGTTGACTTTCTTAGCTGTGAAGAAGCATTTTGTTGGGGGCAGTCCTACTTGTTTATTTTTTATTTTTTTATCTTTGTTTTTGGTATCAAAGGGGGAAAAAATAGTGAAGTCCAATGTCAATGAGGTAACCTCTTTTGTTTTCTTGTATGAGTTTTGCAGTTTCAGCTATTAATATCTAAACCTTTAATGTATTTTGAGTTGGATATTATAGATGGTGTTAAATAGGATAGGGGTCTGGCTTCATTCTTTAATTTGTGGTTAATATTTCATAAATACCATTTATTGCAGACTGTCCTTTCTCCATTGTATATCCTCGGCTACTTTGTTAAAAATTAATTGGACAATATATGTATGGGTTTCTTCCTGGGCTGTCTGTTCTGTTTACCAGTGTATTACTTCAATGTCAGTATCATGGTGTTTGGATTGCTATAGTTTTGTGATGTAGTTTGAGTTCAAGAAATGTGATGTTTCCAGCTTTATTATTTCTCAAGATTTCTGTGTCTAGTCTAGGTCTTTTGTGGTTTCATATAAATATTAGGATTATTAGTTCTATTTCTGTGATAAATGCTATTGGAATTTTGACAGAGGTGCATTACATCTGAGGATCACTTTGGGTACAACAGACATTTAAAAACACTGAGTTTTTACAACAAATGAACATTGAATATTTGTATAATTTTTTTTATTTTTTTATTTTTAATCATTTTTTAAAATTTATTTTCAGCATAACAATATTGTTTTTGTACTACACCCAGTGCTCCATGCAATCCGTGCCCTCTCTAATACCTACCACCTGGTTCCCCCAACCTCCCACCCCCCACCTCTTCAAACCCTTCAGATTGTTTTTCAGAGTCCATAGTCTCTCATTGTTCACCTCCCCTTCCAATTTCCCTCAACTGCCTTCTTCTAACTCTCCATGTCCTCCATACTATTTGTTATGCTCCACAAATAAGTGAAACCATATGATAATTGACTCTCTCTGCTTGACTTATTTCACTCAGCATCATCTCTTCCAGTCCTGTCCATTTTGCTACAAAAGTTGGGTATTCATCCTTTCTGATGGAGGCATAATACTTCATAGTGTATATGGACCACATCTTCCTTATCCATTCGTCCGTTGAAGGGCATCTTGGTTCTTTCCACAGTTTGGCAACCGTGGCCATTGCTGCTATAACCATTGGGGGTACAGATGGCCATTCTTTTCACTACACCTGTATCTTTGGGGTAAATACCCAGTAGTGCAATGGCAGGGTCATAGGGAAGCTCTATTTTTAATTTCTTGAGGAATCTCCACACTGTTCTCCAAAGTGGCTGCACCAACTTGCATTCCCACCAACAGTGTAAGAGGGTTCCCCTTTCTCCACATCCTCTCCAACACTTGTTGTTTATAGTCTTGTTAATTTTGGCCATTCTAACTGGTGTAAGGTGGTATCTCAATGGGGTTTTGATTTGAATCTCCCTGATGGCTAATGATGATGAGCATTTTTTCATGTGTCTGTTAGCCATTTGTGTCTTCTTTGGAGAAGTGTCTGTTCATGTCTTGACAAAAAACCCATTTTTTGACATAATTATCTGTTTTTTTGGGTGTTGAGTTTGAGGAGTTCCTTATAGATCTTGGATATCAGTCCTTTGTATTTAGTGTCATTTGCGAATATCTTCTCACATTCCATGGGTTGCCTCTTTGTTTTGTTGACTACTTCCTTTGCTGTTTCTGCCCATTTTTAATTGGAGTATTTATTTTGAGGGAGTTCAGTTTTATGAATTCTTTTTTTAATTATGTTCAGTTAGCCAACATCAATTTTATAGATTCTTTATACATTTTGGATACTAAACCTTTATCAGATAAGTCATTTGCAAATATCTTCTCTCTTTCTGTAGGTTGCCTTTTAGTTTTGTTGACTTTTTTCCTTCCCTGTACAGAAACTTTTTATTTTGATATAGTCCCAATAGTTTACTTTTGCATTTATTTTCCTTGTCTCAGGAGACATATTAGAAATAAATTTCCATGGCTGATATCAAAGAAGTTACTGCCTGTGTTCTTTAGGACGTTTATGGTTTCATCTCACATTTAGGTTTTTAATCCATTTTGAATTCAATTTTGTGTATGCTGCAAGAAAGTAGTCCACTTTGCATGTTGGTGCTTAGTTTTCCTATTATCATTTGTTGAATAGCCTCTCTTTCCCATTATGTATTCTTTCCTATTTTGTCAGAGATTAATTGAGCATATAGTTGTGGGTTCACTTCTGGATTTTGTATACTGTTCTATTGATCTATGTGTCAGTATTTGTGCCAGTACCATATTGTTTTGATTACTACAGCTTTGAAATATAATTTGAAGTCTGGAATTTCAATGCCTCCAGTTTGCTTTTCTTTTTCAATATTGCTTTGGCTATTTAAGGTCTTTTATGGTTCAATACAAATTTAGGATTGTTTATTCTAGCTCTACGAAAAATGCTACTGGTATTTTGATAAGGACTGAATTTAATGTGCAGATTGCTTTGGGTAGTGTAGACATTTAAAAAATATTTGTTGTTCTAATCCATGAACATGGAATGTCTTTCCATTTCTTTGTGTCATCTTCAATTTCTTTCATCAGTTTTATAGTTTTTAGAGTATAGTTCTTTCACATCTTCGGTTAGGTTTATTCCTTGGTAGCTTATGTTTTTCATGCAATTACAAATGGGATGGATTTCTTTTTTCTTTTTTTTTTTAAGGTTTTATTTGTCAGAGAGAGAGAAAGGAGAGAGAGCAAAAGCAGGGAGAGTGGCAAGCAGAGGGGAAGCAGGCTCCCTGCCAAACAGGGAGCCTGATGTAGGACTTGATCCAAGGACCCTGGGATCATGACCTGAGCTGAAGGGAGATGCTTAACTGACTGAACCACCCAGGCATTCTGGGATTGATTTCTTGATTTCTCATTCTGCTGTTTCATTATTGGTTATAGAAATACAACAGATTTCTGTTGATTTTATATCTTGCAACTTAACTGAATTTGTGTATCAGTTCTAGCAATTTTTTGATAGATTTTTTTTTTGTATAGAGTATCATGTCATTTGCAAGTAGTGAAAGTTTGACTTCTTCCTTGCTAGTTTGGATATCTTTTATATATTCTTGCTGTCTGATTGCTGTGGCTAGAACTTCCAGTACTGTGTTGAATTAAAATGGTGAGAGTAGATATCCC